CGATAATGTGAATGTTTCAACTGATTTTTAGTATTAAGGCTGCTTTTTAGTATTAAGTGAAAGGTCTCATTTCCTGCTGAATGTCATAAATTTAAACGGCGTTGGCGGCACGTGTTAAAATTATGTGCTTTTTTTGTTTTGTTTTGTTTTTTACTAATTATTTGAGAGTAATGTTAACTTAAATTAACAGTAAAAGCAAAATATGCAATACTTTTTGTATTGCATGAATTGTTATTCCTGTAAACTGTATTTCTCTATCGATAATGTGAATGTTTCAACTGATTATTAAGCACACAAAGAATAGTTTCAAGGTATTTTATTCACCAATGCTTTGACAAAGTTTAATTTTACAAATATCATTTTATCTAACAAGCAATCAAACTGAAAACTCAAAGACATACATGCACATGAACGAAAGATCAGAATTTTATTTAAAAAAAAAAAAAACGAAAAAAAAAACAAAAAACGATCGGACTGTTTTCCAAAGCTTTTTTTCTCAAAATCCAAATTTTCATAACACTGTTGTGTAGAAAAAGTTTACAAAGTTATGTCAGGCATGTTTCCTAGATATTAAACATGTACTTTCAGATATATCAGAATATCAGAAGTGCCATGTAAGGCTCTGTAGGTAATAACCTTTAAAAAAAGCTCTTCATTGTTTTATCTATTTTTCACAAATATAGAAAAGAAATGAATTACAAGACTTGTCATTCCAATCACCCCCGGAAAACATTTCCAGGCAATTTTCACCTGTACCCCCATTTGGTTCATCATTATACCAGTTTGTGAAATTCAATGTGTTGTTTGAGTGTTCCCAGTAAAACGTGCCTTCTGATTTTGCATCTGTTCCCCCCATCCACCATGCATTCCCAGAGGCTGAAACTTTATAACACAGGGAGATAATCTTGTGTACCTCATTGACAAATATTCAAGTGTATCTTTATTTTGTTAATGATTAAATATACATTTAGGAAAAGTTAATTAAAGTTAAACTATAATGCTAAACGTTAATCTTTTATACTTGTATATTTCGTTTAATTTGGTGTCTTAAATTGACTAAAGTGAATTCACTATGCATGGGACACATACTTTTGATCGGATAGATTTAATAAATAAGATCATGAAGAAAACCAAAGTAGTTTTTTAGGAAGCAAAATACTGCAGACCATGCATAAGGCAAATTAATAATTATGTCTGATTTAATATGAGGGAATCTCTGCGGATGTGAGGTAATAGAATATTGCTTAATACGACATCTTAAGTAAAAACTTCATATTCATAAATCGCCTATATATATATATATATATATATATATATATATATATATATATATATATATATATATATATATATGGCAAAACATGATTTGGATTGAGGGGATCTATTTTTAGAAGAGGCCAATTTAAACAGTAATCTTCTTTCAACATGGATCAGTAACAATTTTATAATGCATCGGACTAGATGACAAAAAAATGGTAGTTTTAAGGTGTTATTGTATGCTAGTATCTAAATGGGTTTATTCATTTTATCTCCGTTTACATCGAATTTCGTAATCATAGTTTTAATTAGATGCTGTCATGTCTAGACAGTAATACCCGCACTAAGTTGTTTGCCTCTAAATGCACACTCCTTCATATTGGGCTTACCAAGGAAAAAGTCAAAATAATTTACACAGTACATGTACATGTATTCGTCAATTCGAGCACAAAATGCTCAGGTGACCATGTGACCTATGAGCCTCTTATTGGTATTTCCTTTACTTAATTCATTACCAGTCTGAAATAACAGAATTTAATTAATGATGTAAATTAGGTTTTGATAAAAGGGGGATATAAATTTTTGGCCCATAATTGGAACTTTTTAAATCTATTTTCTCAGCAACAAATAACATTATTTTAGTAATAGCGTTATTGATGAATTTATCAAAATTTCAAAAACGTTTTATTTAGTATTTCGTTAGGCAAAAACCTCCTTGAAAAGCCATACCCAATCAATTTTGCCCCCCCCCTCCCCCTCCAACACGCACACACACAAATTGCCTGTTTTTGGAAATAGGCCTAGATGGCAAAGTTACGTTAAAACATCGTTTGTTATGATAATTTAAAATTTGTTCTTGTACGGTGCATGTATGTGAACACCTTTTTGAAAATTTCTACATCACATTTGGCTTGCGTCACCCTACTAGTACTAGTCTTACCATTATCATTGCACATGGTGCAGCGTGGTGTAAACATCATGACATGTATATCAGTAGAAATTAATTCATTTTGTGTTTTAATTGGATAATATTTCATGAAGTTGATAGGACCTATGACAGTCGGTAAGTACAAGTTTAAGTATTGATTGAGGTAAAATAATCGAAATGCAAATGGTTAGGTAAAAGTTTAAAAAGGATCAAAGATCATCGGATTCTGAAGAGTTATCTCCCGTTGTCGACATTACATGTACATTCAGTTACAGGCATATAGTGTTTGTCATGTCCGACTTCAATCAAACGTCATGTGCTGATACATTGATACTGATGTAAGCTTTTCAACTGCATAAACTTTTTTGACCTTGACCTTTCCTTTGACCTTGACCTCACTTTTCTTAAATTAGTGTCTTAGATCAGTTTTGAATAAACAATTCAAGATATATATATCAAACTTTATATACTGATATATACTGCTGAGAGCTATCAATTGCATCAACTTTTTTACCTTGACTTTTTTTTTTTTTACCTTGACTTCACTTTTTAAATTAGTGTTTATCTATGTTTTATATAAACCATTTATGACATTTTTATCAAACTTCAGATGCTAATGGTAAATACATACTGATGTAAGCTTTTCAACTGTATCAACATTTTGACCTCAACCTTTCCTTTGACCTCTCTTTTCTCAAATAAATGTTAAGCTCAGTTTTAAATAAATCATTCAAGATATTTTATCAAACCTAATATGCTGATATGTATTAGTGAGAGCTATTCAACTGTATCAAAAACTTTTCACCTTGCAATTTCCTGTGACCTTGACCTCCCTTCTCTTTAATTTGTATTTTGCTTAGTTTTAAAGAAACAATCCAAGATATTTTTATGTAAGCATGCACTTATACATAATTTGGTGAGAATTTATCATCTATATCCATTTTTTTTTTTTAGATTTTAGTTTCAATTTTAAAGAAACTGTTCAAGATATTCTCATCAAACTTCATACACTCATACAAATTTTCATGTTGCTTTAGTAATATACATTCGGCGGGGCATTTATGTCCTATGGACATATTTCTAGTTTTCAAATCATGACCTCCGAGGATAGGGTCAGGCCACAATAAGGGATCAAAATTTTATATAGGAATAAAAGGGAAAAAAATCTTCAAAATTCTTCTTTTCAAGAACAACAAAAGCATGATTAATATGGAAACATTCCCAAGAAGTGTAGATTCAAGTTTGTACAAATCATGACCCCATGGGTTAGGGAGGGGTCATTTTTTTCCTGCCCCTATTTGCCATCCACATGGAAATGCAAATTTTAAAACCATTTTACACATCCACAGGGCAAAATCAATCATTTTCCAAATGATCATGATTTAAGGATAGTGCATAAAATATAAGGGAAGTTCTGGGAACCAGGGGGTTTAAACATGTTAAATATTTTTTTTTTAAATCTAACCCCCATTTGACCCCAGGGGGGGGGGAATAAAAATTCCGAAACCTTACTGCACATCTATAGCACACCACCAACCATCTCCCAAAAGATGATTAGGCTACTGTGTAAAATGGCTTTTTGCATAAGAAAACGTCATTTTTCGATCCCTGTTTGACCCCACGAGGAAAATTACAATTCCGAAACCTTACTGCACATCTACAGGATACCACTAACCATCTCCCAAAAGATGATTAGGCCACTGTGTAAAATGTAAGAGGAGTTCAGGGAACCAGGGGCTTTTTGCATAAAAAACGTCATTTTTCGACCCCCATTTGACCCCCAGGGGGGAATAAAAATTCTGAAACCTTACTGCACATCTACATGACACCACCAACCATCTCCCAAAAGGTGATTAGGTTACTGCGTAAAATGTAAGAGGAGTTCAGGGAACCAGGGGCTTTTTGCATAAAAAACGTCATTTTTCGACCCCCATTTGATCCCCAGGGTGAAAATAAAAATTCCGAAACCTTACTCCACATCTACATGACACCATCAACCACCTCCCAAAAGATGATTAGGCTACTGTGTAAAATGTAAGAGGAGTTCAGGGAACCAGGGGCTTTTTGCAGAAAAAACATCATTTTTCGACCCCCATTTGACCCCCAGGGTGAAAATGAAAATTCCGAAACCTTACTGCATATCTACATGACACCACCAACCATCTCCCAAAAGACGGACGGACAGACATGAGTAACAACAATATACCCGAACTTTCTTTAGAAATATAATAAATCCTCTCATTGTTAGATAAATACTATTTTAAAAAATGTTTAAGATTTAATTATTTCTTAATTTCCTTTATGTTTCATTTATTTTCTAACGTATACTTATTTCATAAAAACATGATCTTCCATCTCTTATTAATTAGTTAATCTACAGTTTAAAAACTTCGATGCTGATTTATAAAATAATTTTTATTTCAGTGGTACTTACATAAGATTTTATTTATCTTTTTTTTTTTTTTTTTTTTTTTGCTAAAATTTAAATTTCAATTTAGTTTACATCATTTGATTCAAAACTATTCAGAATATCCAATCCAAGATTTTCCAGATAATTCGACAACATCGGTATTTATCCGTCCAATAATTGCTATTAATTGCTATTTATTTACAATAACTTTTAACTTATGTCCACAAAGATATTGTAAGTATCAGGTATAGCAATAATTCATCTTAAAAGTAAGAGGATGTTCGATTCGTATTGAATTCACCATACTTTTTAGTAACTATAGTGCTTGTATGTGTAAAGAAGAAAATATTGATGATATTGATCTTCTCAACTTTGTTTTATAGATACATTTTAAAGAACAAATTTTCAGTACTTAAAATGAACGAAGAAAACGCATATACTTTCGTTTTGAATCCATATTTGTTCAGCCTCCGTCTCTATTGCCAGAAGATGTGCTTCCATCGAAATGCAGCTATCCTGAGAGGATAAAATGAAAGAAAAATATATTCACTCAAGGGTACATACGGAATGCGGATATCCGAGAGAGAAAATAATGCTAGTTGAATTGATATATTTCAAATTAATGTCTTTTTCATATTGTTTTAACACATGCTATTAATTGATCTGAAAGCAATTTAATCGATACAATTTTCTTTGTTTAAAAAATATGTTACCCACACTATCAGTGAAATCTTTTCACTTCACTTTCAAAGAAATTGGCGGACAAAGAAACCGTTGATTAAAAACGAGAAAACTTATCCTTCTTTAACCTTCATTGGTAATTGTTATCAAAGGGCACATTAGAATTTTATGTAAATTTCTTGTACAAGTTTGTCTTTTTTTCCAAAGCATTTTTCTATATATATTATCTTTCTTTAGCAGTTGTTTTAAACATCGTCAGATTACTAGTATATTTCACTTCTAGTTTGGAAAGCCATTTAAGGAGAAACACTTTTGAACTTTAATTTTTGATCTTAAAACAATTATCTTTATTTAATATTCAAATCACAATAAATTGTCTCTATTTGGTTGCAATTGATTAGAATTAAAATATAGCCTGAAAAAGTCACTACAATTAAATAAAGAAATAATTCCTGTGCATTAAATGACACCTATTTCAAGGTTCATCTGGCGAAATCATGATATATCGTCAATTTGATTTCTATACATTCACTATATTATATTTTAGCGGAGTACGTTAGAATATTTAAGTGCACTAGAGAAAAGCTGGCACCATAACATGAAAATGTTCTCGTTTAAGAACAGTACTTTAGTATCGTTAAAAAATTTAAGAGAAAAAACCTTTTTAGTTCTTAAACGTAACACTGTATGAAATGCACCATTTTGATTGAGACATTTTTATTGATCTGATTGATAACGAATTGTCTGCCATTGATTTGAATATATCTCTGTTTTGTTCGGAAACCATGCACATGTATTCGAAGAATGTTTTCGAGTGGTTAAAACATTCTCCGCAATGAATACGTTTGCCACAGAAAAGGAAACCTTTTTATTCAGACGAAAAATGCATAGCTATTATTAGTATTAGGAGAAACTTAAAAATTATTATTATTTTTTTTTTTTTTTTTTGTGAGAGAAAAAAAAACAGGTTGAAAAGCAGCCTCTTTGGTTATTTATGCCTAATATCTTTCAAAAAACAAAACTAAAGAAAATCTGTAGGCTCTTTTCACGATATCAATGTTCTGACATTTATGAGTGAAAGTTGTAGAAAACAGCATTATTTTGTTAAGGATTGATTGATTGATTGATTGTATGTTGTTTTACGTACCGTTTCAGAATTTTTCACATATACAGAGACGTCATCGTATACCGGTGAAAGGCTTCACATTTAGACTTTTACTCGGCACTCAGGGCCATCGAGCAGTGAGTGCTCTTCATCGTGCCTACGCACGGGCCTCGGTTTTAAGGTCTTATCCGAAGGACCTGCAACTTTCATTTCAAAGTGCCGAGCTCTTGGCGAAGAAACAGTTGCTACCTATTTTTTATCGACTTAGGTCAGTCGCGGTCGTGATTCGAACCCACGACCTTCCGATCATGGAGCGAACGCTCTACCGACTGAGCTACCGTGACGGTATTCTGTTAAGGAGATCGGGATGTCAGAAAATTTCCAGAGAGATGACCCCAGAAAAAAAATGGTATATGATTTTTTTTTCTAGGATGCACAATCATTTTATACAGAAAAACCTCATTTATAGCCATAACATTGAATGAAATTTCCTATATTTTATTCGGCCTTCAGGGTAGCTTAGTTGGTAGAGTGATCGCTCCATGATCAGAAAGTGGTGGGTTCAAGCATCGGCACTTTGAAGTTGCGGGTCTTTCGGATGAGACCTTAAGAACCGAGGCCCCGCGTCACTGCAGGCGTTAGCATAATCAAGATCTTACTACTAAATAGCCATGAGTGCCGAGTAGAGGTCTTACTTTGAAGCCCTTCATCGGCATACCATGACGTATGATAAGAGACCTCTTAACTTCTTCATAGGGTTTAGATACTCAAAGAAAGGCCACGACTATCATGCCCTCTTTAAAGACATACCTTGGCATCCTGCCACTTAAGAGAATTGTTCATAAAGCAATATTTCTTCTCTCCGTTTATCTTCCATGATGTCGGACATTCTGCAATATAGTAGTATAAATGACCACATTGGAACTTTAAGGGAATAAATATAGTTTTAGTAACCAAAACTAACTCCACTACGCAGTTATTTAATAATAATTGTTATTTTATAATAATCGATTAGATCAATGTTTATCGGGTTTGCATTGCTGACATATCTGTTTTCGTATTGTACCATACCACTAAGGATATTAAAAGTTAAAAGCGTTTGGTCATGCATTAAATGTACTAAAAAATTTATTCATCTAAAAGATTATTTTATAATTTTCTCTTCGATAATGAGTTTCTTGGTAGGTTATGCAAATTAATTTCCAATTTTTCAAGCACTTGTTTATGGAAAAATTAATATGTTTTACTTCTTTCAAAAAACGGTGCCAATTTTAAATAATAATAATAATAATAATAATAATAATAATATAAAAAGCATTTTTTATAGCATATTTTGTAGCATATTTTTCTGACTCTTAAAAACAACACTTTAAGAACTAATTCAAACACTTAAAAGAACATTCAATGATCCCAACAGTTTCATGAAAATAAAAAAAAATATTCTGACTTTGGCTTTGTACAAAACTACAAAGAGTACACAGTCGGAAAAAGGTCCATCAAAATCTTTAAAAGACTCTATACCACAGGTAAGACATACGTGAAACTATACAAAATATAAATTATTAATTTTCCTTAGAAATTATTATAGATAAATTAATTAATTAATAATCCACTGTAATTCAAAGGGAAAAAATTAATTTAATTAATCTTAATTTAAGGGGAACCGACCCTTTGATAAGAGAGATAACTTTCCAAGTTAAAAATACGAATGCGACTTAAAGTTTTCATTATCAGAGTTTCTTTGTCGAGACCTTAGAGTAGTCAGTTCGATCAAACCTGACATAAGATGGAAACATTACCTTCTATTTCCTTTGGCTACACATTTTCAAATTGTAATATTTTATTACCCCCCCCCCCAAAAAAAATAAAAAAAATAAAAAAAAAAAAAATAATAAAAAAAATAAAATTCAGTATAAAAACTCTCATAAATTGAATAAGCTCTATCTTTTTAAGGACCATCTTAAAAATGGTTTAATGTTTCAAGTACCAAATGTAGAATTTTTATTAGTATTGCATTTTTTTCCAATGAAAAAAAAAAAAATCTATAAGAAAGATAACTCTTGCTAACAGATGTATTCTTTTTGTATCAACTACATAGAACATTGTGATATTCTGACTTAGAAGGCAGCGCTTAATTATGTTTTCTAATATGAATTTAATAGGTATGATACTGAATATTATTTTCATATACACCTCATATTTTTAATTTCATGTTGTGATAATAAATCATTACTCTTTCAATCCTCTGTGCACTGTGTTAAAATTTCTTCATATCATGATCCGACATAAAAATCTTTTCTGAAAAAAAAAAGCATCGCTTCATACTTCATACTATACTGAAATGCAACATCCTAATTTTAGGGGGGAAATTATATACAGGTTATAACTTTGTACTTAAAAAGTTAGGACATCTTCAACTTTGCCAAATCAGTAATTTAACGGTTGAATAATTTTCATTCCATTACCGGAAGTTGATTTTGAGCCTTCTTAACAGAAATCAAAAAATTGCATGTTTATTGAAACATGTGACAATAAATTGGGTCTTCAAGGCTTTGTAGCTGTTAATCATAAGTATTGCATTGATATTCCGAAAAAAAAAAATCCTTCTTTCTTTTCCCGATGGGATACCAATATTTCCTCAAAATTACTGAAAGCACGCATTTTCATCGCTCTTGCTGGAAATTCTCAAAATAAAGGTAAAGGAGAGTTGCAGATGCAAATATGCACTACATAACGACTCATCAGGCTTATGCATTTCAAAAGCATGAATGACAGTTCTTTGACCGGAAGTCCAAGGGTTACTACACTACGTCAGGTTAGAGAAAATTCGACCTCAGTATCTGAAAAACAGTCACTTAAAAATGCTTAAGAATATTTCTTTCGCTCAGATCAAGAGATTGATAAACCTGATGCATCGTAGAAATCGAACTGCAATTGTTGTACATGGCGGACTAGCACGTTGTAATTGAATGTTCGGAAGGGGGAATGTTTTAAGAGTTATGTCAGTGATACTTTTAAGGTTTAAAGATAACATTCAACGTTTAAATAAAAAATCTGATGTTTGTAAATTTACTTTTTACCTTACTATATTCATTTTTGAATGTTATCTTTAAACCTTAGAAAGTATCATAACTCTTAGGCTTATCAATCTCAAAGAACTGTCAATCATGCTTTTGAAACGTATGAGCCTGATAAGTCGTTATGTAGTGCATATTTGCATCTGCAACTCTCTTTTACCTTTATTTTGAGAACTTCCAGCAAGAGCAATGAAAATGCATGCTTTCAATCATTTTGAGTAGATATTTGCATCACATCGGGAAAAGAAAAAAAAAAAGATTTTTTTCCGGAATATTAATGCAATACTTATGATTAACAGCTACAAACCCTTGAAAATCCAAATTATTGTCAAATGTTTTATTAAACATGCAATTTTTTATTTCTGTTAAGAGGGCTCAAAATCAACTTCCGGTAATTGAATGAAAATCATTCAACGTTAAATTACTGATTTGGCAAAGTTGAAGATGTCCTAACTTTTTAAGTACAAAGTTATAACTTGTATATAATCTTCACCCTAAAGTTAGGAAGTTGCGTTTCTTTTGCGTTTCAGTATATTTTCCATTTGAAGCTGATGCTATAGCTGTTAATGAAAATCAATGTTGGAAAGTTTTTAAAAAATTATGAAATTTAGAGCAAAGGGTCATTAGTCCTTAAGTAACAATCAGAGGCGATCAAAAGTGTCAGTCGTAAAAAAAGTTGTCTTCCGTATTCACGTCTTAGTCATTCATAAAACATTCATACAGCATCCTATTTACACAATGCTATGTATCAAATTGAAGTAAATAAAACTGAAATACCAGAGAAATATTATTAAAAGATACTTGTATTTTTTTTTAAGATGCGTGTATACATATTGTTTTTTTTTCTCCTGGAAATATAGGATTATAAATTTTCAACAAGAATTTGCATAATAGTTGTTATTCATATTTTCTTAAGAAATATCTAAGATTTTTTTGTTCTCTCACTCTATATGATATGTTAATAATTATCTTTAATGATGAACTGCGAAAAAAAATACTGATAACATTTTTTCTTTCAATCTCATTAATAACTCAAAGTCTCGTCAATTTTTGTTCTAGTCTAAAAAAATCGATTTTTTTTTCAAAATGCAATAAAAGATTTTAGGGATTTTCTTTTTCAGAACGGGTAAAATAATCCTTTTTAATTACTTACTTTCTTTTGTACAGAACGTTTTTCCTCTACTCAGAGCAGTGCACTGCCCTTTACACGATGTTGACTTACAAGATCCAGCCAGCTCCTGAAAAAAAGAGAGACCCATTGTCATAGCGTCCCTGAGCTACCTTAGCCCATTTGGTCATGAGTTGATTTAAACTTTAAAGGGGTTTTCCCCGATTTATTTGCAAAAAAGTACCCTATGAAGTGACCCCACCCTGGGAGTCTCTTGAAATACAGGAACATCAATCTGCACATAATGGATATCTTAATATAATAGCATGACTTTGCTGTTCTAGGGAAAGAAAATTTTTCTTAAATAGTTGTTTTGTGCATAGATGAAGCTTGATCTCTGAATTCTGAAAAAAAAAATCAATAAATACAAGTTAAAAGCATGAATATTACTACGATTTAGTGCGACTTTTTTTTATTTTGAATTTTTTTTTTCAATAAATTCCCTACAGACCCGATGTAAATGTAATCCCTTATTGGAGCGTCATTCTATTCCCTTTCCTTATCACAATTGGTACAAAGGACAAGATAGGCTAAGACCCCTTTTTGGCCCCTGGTTTGGGGTGTCTTTTAGAATGATGCAACAATTTATCAATTAAAAACCTGTTGTCACCCCTGCCACAAATTGAGTATTGTTTCTAAGTTACAGGATTCACAGAGGTCACAGGAAGGTCAATTTCCAAATTTTCTCACTTTTATGCAAATTTTCATCGATTTTACAGCACATTTTGGTTCAGAAAACATAGAGCACAAGCTTGCCTATCTACCAAATTTATATATTTCATACAATAGTATCAGATGCATCTTATGTATAAAAATCTCAGATAGGCAAGCTTGTGCTCTATGTTTTCCGAAGTGAAAAGTATTGCAAATTTGATGAAATTCGACCAGATTGAGGAAATTCGGGAAAATGCCGTACTTCTGCACCCTCTTGTGGCCTCCTTGTAAGTTTGAATCAAAATTAGTGCTGGTTCTCAAACAAGCATCATTTTAAGTTCTTAACTAAAAACTATCACAATTTTAACTGTGTTATGATTTTTACATCAAACAAGGGGCCAGATTCGGCCCTTACCATACCTTGTCCTTTAAATGTGTTTTTATTAAGGATTCTTGCATATTAATATCTAATATCATAGTCTACCATTCTTTAGAACAAGAATTTTAAAGAATTTTTCTTATATATTCCTATGTTAAATCGTCCTATTGTAAACCAACCTACTTCAGGTTCGGGGGTATTGATGTAAAAATACTTGAATCTTGAGAAGACGTTTTAAAATACCTTTTTCTATTTTCTATATATTCTCACGTAAAACTGATCCTCTTTTGTTCTCCCATACTACCCAATAGGAGTGTTATATAAACATTTTGTCAGAAAGCTGTCACCTTAATTTTTTTCTTTTAGTTTTATTTCATTCATTTATTTCTGAATCAGTAGTTTTTGAGAACAACTTAAAATTCCATTCACCGAAAGATCCAATGTGGCAAATTTAGTTGAAATTAGCCCGTTGGTTCTGAAGAAGTTGAAAATTGGTAAAAGTTTAAGGAAGACGCATGGACAGACAGATGTCAGACACCCTTCAGTTAGAAAAGCTCATCTGAGCTTTCACTTATGTCAACAAGCATTTTCAGCTTGATAAGTATACAAACTAAAATTTAAGATTCTTTCATATTATTGTTTGTTTTCAATCGGTTTAACTACAAGTTTTGAGAATATTTTAATTCATGATGTGCAAAATATGGGAGAGATTTTGAACATCTACTCACTAAATCAAGCCGTGAATACTAAAACGTGCAGAAAAATAAGACATAGCGAATGTAAACACACATCCTTAAACTTTTATAAGATTGGAAATCTATATTCCTTCAATGTTACGAGTATTATCACGTTTTAGCTTTTCGAACAATACTCAAATAATAGTTCATTTTGTCATTTTATGAGCCGATAAAAATCAATGATCTGCTAAATATATAATGCGTGTTCAATAGAATGAAAATATTACATAGTTGTCTGACGCTGATACTTTTTGCCCTCAGGGAATGAGAGAATGACAGCGTACATGTATTTATGATTTTGGATTTATTTATTTATTTATTTTTTGTTCCCAAATCTACACATTGACGGGATAACTTTGTTAAATTTAGATTTATATTAGTTTAGAACAAGAATATGAAGTTTTCTTTCAACTGCTTTGACCGACATTATTTCTGAAAATTTCTCCTTATGTAAATGCAACAATAAAACATACTCACCGGACGATGTCATTGGAACAAACAGTACAGACACATAACTGACCTGTGGCTGATTTTCCATTTCAATGTAGTCACACTCTGAATCCAGAACTAAAGTAGCTCCCGGGTCCCCATATTTTGCTGCAATTAGTTCACAGTTCAATTGTTGTTTTCGATAGTTTACAGACTTGCATTTACGATTCTGTAAACAACTCCGAATGCACTGTTTTTGTCCAATGATGGCTAAAACATTCATGATTTTGCTTGAAGTCATGCATTGGCCAGGCGCGGTCACTTTTATGTTTGTTACGTTGTCAATTTGTCCCGATACCGCATGGTGTACTGCATTAAAAAATAAAACAATTTTTAGTCCAAACATTGTTAATTTGTTAACAAGATTGTAATTAAGTTTATAGTTATCCTAAAAGAGATCCAAGGGTCGCTAATTCATATGTTTAAATGGATGTACAATATGATCGGTAACCAGGTTGAATAACGCAATAGCTTGAAGCATGCGCAACCAATTTCACTGTGTAAAGGCACATAAAAAGCCATTCATAAAGTTGAATTAAATGGTGTTACATTATTGAATCTATTTCGTCTGAAAAAAATATGTAATTAATTTATTCTAGAAATATACTCATGTGATTAAGTAATAATATTCAATAAACTCAAGCTTTTAAATTATATCATTAATAAATAAAATAAGAAATGAAGACATGAATTATCTTCGATACAGAAATGTGTTTTCATTACTTTAATCGAAATAAGTCACTTTATTGTATTTTCAAATTCTTAAGATAATCTCAAGTAATTCTTTGTAGCTTAGTGGTAAGGTGTTCGAAATTGATTGGAAGGTCCTGGGTTCGATTCTCGTTCCCGGACCGCGTCAAACTTAAAACCCATACAAAGGTAGTGACTGCTTCTTCGCGAAGCGCCTGGAAGAATAAGCGAAAATCACTGTTTTTTTTTATGAAACATTAAAATCTGAGCTCCCATGTCACGGTAAACATTGAAACGATAGAGAACTGTTCAATGACCCTCACTGGTGAGTAAAGTTCTAAATTTGAAGACCTTCTATAGTACATGATGATGTCTCTGTATGAGTGAAAAATTCTCGAAAGGGACGTAAAGTGACCTACAATCAATAAATCAATCCAGGGATATGTTGCTTACATCAATTACTTTACAAAATTATCAAATTGTCAAGTACATAATACTCATGTACTTGTAACCTGCTCTAATTTCACAAATACATTATGTACCCTGGTTTCTCCCTGGACATTTTAAAAGAATTGCAGGGCCCATTGTGCTATACGTATTTGCATCAATTTACAAAATTTTATTTTGTGAATATAAAACTTTTTTTTTGGCTTTGCTCGTTTGATTTGATGAATTATTTCTAATGTTTTATATTTGAATATTGAAAAAAGAAAATATCGAAATAATGCACCAAATAATTAAATATTGTCACTGTGGATTGATTGATGTTTTGACAATCAATTCAATTCCAAGAGATATGCTTTAGGGATCTCAAGTTAGCAAAGATGTATATAAGAAAACATGGACTAATAAAAAATAATAACAAAACTTGCATACTGTCGATCAACTGAGTGTGGAGAATTATAGACCTTTCAAAATTTCTTTGATTTGTCTTCGCATACATGTACACTAGTATGTGGCTTTATTAATAGGAAAATGTATTGAAGATGCAATCATGTTTCCATGAGATTATAGAAATGACTTCGAAAAAGGGAGAAAATATTACACTGTATTCGTTAAAAAACAATTCTTCACAATCTTTGAAAAATATGTTGTTCTGTAATTATTTTATATTGGCCAGTACAATACAGGTGGATCTGGAAAATTGATATTTTGATTACTCCCAAGAGCTGCATGTAATGGAAACTCTGCCATCAATCAATGACGTCTTTTTTTAACGAAGCTTAGTTTTGAAATTATTGCATAAATTGAAATTAATGAAACATATTCATGTCAGTTTTGAGCTTAATATATTGTTTACATGAATACATATCAATTGCTAATCCTTGTGAAAATACCCAGGATCATCCATAATACAACAAGTGTTTGGTTACTAAAGGAAGTAATAAGATAAATAACTGTTTCTAATTTCTTGCATACAAAGCTCAAGGATACACTGAAATACAATACTTTCCCGAATCTATTATCCATTGATATATAAATGCAAAAAAGTACTGTCAAACAGCCATAGCAATCAGCTGTTTCTATGTACTTCCAGTCATCTATGCGAACGTTAAAATTCCGTCTGGGAATTTTCATTATATTTTACTTATGTTCGGTGACTACCTATGTAAATCGACAGTCGACCATCATTTTCCGTCCTAAAGTAGTTTAAAACCCTTAATTCAATGATTTTCTGCGTTGCTTTTAAAAAAAATCCTTGCGTTTCTTCTTGACTGTTTTAGTATTTTGGATCAAAGCAAATCGGCCTTGGATTTTCTTTCCAAAATAAGATTTGCACTTATAACGCAATAAAGAATAAAACAATTGGTGCAAACAATTTTATATTAAATATATTTTATTTATGAAGGGGAGTAAAAAGGATGCAAAACTATATTAAAAAAATATTCCAAAAGGGGGGATAGTTTTCTATTCTTTTACCAATTTAAAAAAAGTAAGAACCATTGATGTTGCCCGTTATTGTGCAAGTGCAAGTTTGGATTACATTATTATAATATGCCTACTTTTATCTCAAAAGATGTCATTGTTAATTATTTCAAGGAATGGATTTTTTATTACAAGATATTGATTTTGAGTATTTTGAGTTATACTGATCTGAAATTTGACTACTTTAAGAAGGATGCCTGTTCTCACTGGAGACTCGCTCTCGACATCAAATGGAAGAATAAGTGTGAACGGAGGTTTTTTTTTTTTTTTTTTAAATATGTGCAATGTACGCTCTGTGTGTGTGTGTGTGTGTGTGTGTGTGTGTGTGTGTGTGTGTGAAGAACATACGTTTTGAGAGGTATTGGGATCTGTATATGAGTATATCATATAATTGAAATATCTCGTTTCTGCATTATATGCTGTTGTTGTTTCCTGATATTTTCTGGTATTTAAAAAAAATCTTAGGAGTGATAAAGCATAAAAATAAATAATCAAACATCTCAATCCTTTCTCTCAGGAAAAAGAAATCATGCTATTAATTTTTTTTTAATATGAAAGTGTTTTGTAGTACATCAACGTCAAGAAATATTCTTTCATTAAATTTTATCATAATGTAAGGCTGCGCATGCATCTTTTTTCTATATAGATATAAATTTAAATTCGATTAAACGTAATTATTAAACCATTTAAAAAAAAAAATGATATTTACTTTTGAAAATATTTCATTCTAATATTCATTGTGTGACCAATGCTATAAGAATACAAATTTATTTTGACGTATTTTGATTTCTTTTTTATTTTGTTTTCTATACTTGTAAGATCCAGAAAAACGTTTCACATACTAACTTGCAATTAAGACAAACGATGTTTGAATGTTTCAAAAATCTACATACCAAACATCTTTATTTCATACTGATTGCTTAGAATATTTCCAAATTCCTGAAAATAAGATGTATATTAACATTTCTCACAATATTCTTAAGATTGACACAATAAAAAAAGATTTTAATTATATGTGGTCTAAGTCTTGATAATCATGATCATTTTTATTTATTTATTTATCTATCTATCTATTTATTTATTTATTTGCATGTTTTTCGATAGTGAAAGTGAGCAGTGACAAACGATACTTGAGCCCTGTTAAAGGAGAGCTTACTCAGATTTATTTGGAACCGGAAAATCTGTTCACCTTAATAAAAAAGGTGAAAGAAAAAACAATTATTGATCAGAAAAAAATCTACAAACAATACAATCTGTGAACAGTGCATGTTATACGGGTCCCTGGTAATTCCAGAGGTTGAACCAGGTTCCTAGGAGGAGTAGGTATCCCCTGTCGACTGTTCACCCCAGCCATTAGCCTCAGGTATTGATCAGGTAAACTGACCATTCCGTAGTCAAATTTAATGTAAAAACAGATGCGTAACAATTGGTAGAAATATGACAGTCAAAATACGATCCAATGATGGGCTATATTTGCTAACAAGGTCATTATAAATTTATCAACCATATAATTTACGAAATGTTGACTTCGAATGAGGTTGTTGAAATGTTTGTAATATCAACTTATCTGTCACTAGCCTACCTCGATTTAAATGTTGATGGTATTCAGAGCATGTTCCTGAGTATCTAATAAGTTGGGAAATATACACACCATAAGTGCAGGTGAAGCGGAATATTACTACATAAATAACGAAAATTGACGACGGAAAAGCTGAAATCATCTGCTTGTCATACAGTTTAGCTGTTAGTTGTCCCTTATCGTCTGTATTCAATATAACAGACAAATATGAAACATTTGAGGCAGGCTTGATGATTTCCTTTATTTCAAGTTCACTTTGATGTATCGAGGCAGGCTTGATGATTTCCTTTATTTCAAGTTCACTTTGATGTATCGAGTTGATTTATGGATGACGATAACTATTGTTAATTGATAAACCGTCTTTAATAAATCTGAATGTTTAATTGAATTTCTGACCAAAGCAACTGTGTTCTTTTCTCATGTGTTTTTGCGTACGTTCTGCTTCCAAGGAATAAAAAAAAAGGCTGGATAATAAAGGAGAACGGTGAGTGACTATCGGAATTCCAAAGTTTGTTATAAGACTTTGATTCCAAAGACTACATACTTGCGCAATGAGGAATCCAAGCACTCCTTTAATACCAACTTAAATGTGCGTATAATAAGAGTGATTTTTAACAAAGCAAATTTATTGATGACCAAAATTTCCGAGTACCATTTATATTGAAGAAGTAGTTATCTATGACAACTTCTTAATTTGAAACCATGCAGCAACATTCTAAAGTTTAAATAATGCTACTTCAATCTACGATATGAGTTATTATGTTAACTATGAGCGAAAGTAACTTTTTTTTCGATGTGTATATTTGTATTAAGAATTAAAACTGAACGAAACAAACCCCATAGAAAATCAGGATAATGCACAGTATTTTTATATCAAAGTGCAGGAAGATATATTCTTATATAAATATATTCCTCTGTTGTAACTACCAAAATTTATTATTTATGCGCACTTTTCTACCCATTTATTGCAAAATGACTGGAGGATGTCTAATGCATGCTATTTAGCGAAGAAGCTTAAGGCGAGCAAAATGCCTATACATTGTAGTAAGGCACATAAGAAAGTGAAAAAAATTAAATATTTATTGTAGCAATATTCTTTG